CTCTTAGTACAGGGTAAATGATATAGGTAGATTATACATATTATAGGTAGAGCCTCTATTATATGTGTTAGCTCTTCTCTTGGGGGCGGACGGAGATGTTCTTACTAACGCTCTGACGTTGTTGTATTCATCTCTTTTCAGATAATGGGTCGGCGTTTCGGAGAGCCGTAGGTTGAGGGGATTCAACATAATCATTATCATTCATAGGTAGCTAGTTGGTGCTCTACGGTGGACTATATATGATTTTAATTTTTTTTAGAGATGTATTTTATTTTGGAGGCTGGGTGTCTTAGTACTGTTCAGTTAACACTTATGCTTAGAGACTCATTGTTCTTATTTCAATATATCAGATGTACTTTCTTTTCTTCTGTTGGAACATAATAATAGATACGGTTGGATATCTCTTCTCTACATTGTGTTCATTATATTTTCATCTTTGTTATATATGCTTGTATCCTCACTATACTTGACATCTGCTAGAGTGATATTAATGGTGACAATGAAACGTATTTATGCACGGTGTTGGGTGCATGACAAGTTTGATATCTTTGGAATCACCTTGGACTGTAGCCACGTGTCAAACCAGGGGCGTCACATTTTGGCAAAGAGAAAAGACACCTTCAAGCAACCTATAGTAGTGCGAGCTACATTCTGTCCCCGAGTTGATTAGTGATTGATGTGCATTCTCATACTAATGGACTGTAATTTTTGTAATGTTTGTGTGACAACTGAAAAAGTTCTACAAAGTGTGATTTTACAGTTTAAAAGTTGTGTTATTTCGTATTGTTTCTTAAATTTTGTTAATATTCTTTTATTACACTGTCACATGCTACTCATGAAAGTTTTGCAAAGTGTGATTTTACAATTTAAAAGTATTTAGTGTTATTGCGCATTCTCATGCTATTATGTTGTTTTTGCTATGAGACTTTTATATACCAACAACATTTCTTTATGTGAATTTTATTTGTAATAATAAAGTGCACAGCTAGCTTAGCATGTGATGTTGTCGTTGCCAAGCATCTCCAAATATATTGCATATTTTGGGGACATGATAGAGGGACTGAAGACCACAACACCATCTTCATCCTTGTAAGATTCTCCATCGTTGTTTTCTAAGCTCGTTTGAATACCACGGTATTTTTCATATTGTGTTTTTGTATAAAAAACATCATGGTATTGTGTTTTCTCCTCAATGTCTTTAAAACACCACTGTGAGTGGTTTTGGTCAACACTAGTTTGACCATTTATAACATTAGCACTAAATATATTATAAATACATTAATTATGAATTATATAGAATATAGTATGATCAAAACGTTATGATTTTTATTTTATATTATTGTATTAAACTTAATCACTGTTTTAAAAAACCTTCGTCTAGTCCGCTTAGGCGTACGTCTAGACCTAGGTAGTACCTAGGTCGCCTAACTAGCGCCTAGCGTCTAGGCGGTATTTAGGCTACTCACCTAAATTTTACGAGCGTTTAGGGAAGCATTGTCTGCTTACATAGATTGCACCTTGTAAGCCTTGATTGTGATTTTATGTGTCGTAGCCTACACGTCCTCTAAACTCCATTAACCTCCAAATATGAACATCTCCACTACCTCCTCCGACCGTCAGCAAAACCTCATCGACCACCACTTAAACAAAGAAAAAAAAACGCCCAAAAACCGCTTAGGCACCCGCCTAGGCGACTAAGCGTTGGGTGCCAAGTCCGACACCTAGAAGCGCCCAGCGTTTAATGTAACATTGAACTTAATACAAATATAAAATAATATTATTTTATTATTTATATAATATTTTACTATTGTTAATATATATATATATTAGTAATTATATCATATATTATATATCATTAATAGTAGGCTTAATATTAGAAAACCCCCTCAAGTTTAGGGGTTATCAGAAAACACCCTTTAACTTTAAGGTTTTTATCACAAAACCCCCCTAACGGCGTTACCCTGATTATCCCAAATTATCAGCAAAATAAAAGTACTCCCGGTAAGGATTTTCAGTGGGAGAGTTTTCTTTAAAACTCAGAGAGTTTTTCTGTAAGAAATCTGATTAATGTGTTAAACTAAATTTTTTTATCACGCGTGAGCGAAATCCCTATTCAGGAGTATTTTGTTTCACTGAAAATTTAGGATAATAAAAGGTAACGCCGCTAGGGGGTTTTGTTATAAAACCTTATGAAGGTTTTCTGATAACCCCTAAACTTAAGTAGGGTTTTCAGATATTTTGAAAGTTAAGGGGGGTTTTCTGATACTCGCCCAAAGTTAAGGGTTTTTTATATTAATCCTTAATAGTATATTATTACTAATATATTATATTATTAATTATGTTATATTATATTAACTAGTATATTATTAATAAATAATATATTATTAATAGAAAAAAACTTATGTCAACTTAAACGGACCATCCACCAAAGTTTCTATCCATTGATGATACCTCGAGATCCGTGCATCATATGAAGAGACTTTTCATCAATGGATAGAAACTTTGGTGGATGGTCCACTTAAGTTGACATAAGTTTTTCTCTTATTAATATCTTAACATTATGTTATATATTATAGTTTTTAATAAATTAAAGTTTGTTAATAAATCATGGTATAAATTAATATTATTATATTATGAATATACTATTATTACATTAACATCTGTTACTAATATAATATTTTATTATTAATATAATATTTTACTATATAATATATTGTTTACTATATAATATATTAATATTAAATTTTATATTACACAGTATATAATATATGCTATATTATTATTAAATTATTGCTTCATTATATAACATTTTATGATTATTAATATATAATATAATATTTATTAAACATTAATAATATTATCATAATTATATAATATTTATTTTATTGTATAGTACTATTATTGTATAATTAATATATGATTATTTATTATTAACAAATTATTTTATTGTATTTTGTATTAATATATTTATATATTATTATTATTTTATGATATTTATTTGACAATATATTATATAATATATTAGATATTAGTATGTATTATATTTTTATATTATTATTATACAAGATAATTTAATTATTAATATAATTTATTTTATTTTATTTATTTATAATATAATCTAATAAGCATGTTGATAACAAATTATACTAATTATAATTAATATATTATGTATAAATTATAATTAACATATTATGCTACATATTATATTAACACATCTTCAAACTCAAAATCAAAACACCAAACTCAAAACACTTGAAAGTGTATTGAAATGCGTGTTGTGTTTTTTATTTGATGATGTTTTAGCTCAAAAAACACCATAGTTTTTAAATGCATGACATTTTATTTTTGGCAAAAACACATGAAAACAAGGAAACGTCATGGTACCCAAATGCTATCCTAGGGTTTTGTCATGATGTGTGAGGTTAGTTACTATGGCATAGTTTAGGATTGGTTAAGGGCTGATTAGGAAAAAAATCACGTGTTAAAAACGTGAATAGTACAATGTTATAATTTAACGTTAAGATAAAAATATGGCTCAGGTGGTCTGGTTGGAACAAAAGCACATTTTAAAGATGGTTTACGTATAAATTGAAAAAAAAACAACGATTTACGTATAATTAACCTATATTCTATGTGTGGTTTTTCTTGAAAACACCATTACTCCTTGACCACAAGGTTATAATTGGGCCTTTCAAGACTTTCTTGTTCCTTGCCCAAGTACTCTTGGACAAGCTTTGATACTACTGTCTGTAGGTTCTTCTCCGTTAAAACGCAAGTTTCCTGAATAGGAAATATGCGATTACACCAGCTGTTGAAAGAAATAATCACATTTGATTCAGAATGGAAAATCAGATTGCAGGTAAGGAAGGGTGGAGAACATGAATGATACCCTCTGTAACTAAAGAAAGCAGCAGTTTGAATACAAGAACTTTGATTTTTCGCGCAAGTAGGTAACAAAACATTAGCTGATGACGATACTTATATAAAGTACTAATAGGTTGAATTTAGAGGAGAAACACTTACATATTCACGGTCATACTGAAGATATCGTGCAATTCAAGTCTTGTTTGGAAGGGATTTACGAGTAGATAAGATACTCTAGAGGATGTAGTAATTAGAATTTAGAATTACAACTTCTAAATAGTCCAAAAGGTGCACTTAATATCCAGACAAAACGGCCTTCCTCCTTGCCATTTTTCACTATATGTGAAAGCTTCAGTTGTGTGTTAATGGATCAAGAGACACTATATTATCATAGTATTAAAGGTCATAATGTTCACAAGGGAAACTCTTTTTCTTACAGTGATCATGCAAATAAATAAATTCTTAAATTACAAGCAGCATAGAATATTGACATAAACTTGCATTCAAAACCAATCTCATTTTCGAAGAGACAAGGCAGATGAGTACTTAATTAAATGATAGAAATAGGCTTGTATGAATGGAGAGCTGTAGCCCAGGGCCTCACATAGATGTCTTATTAATATGCTCTTCACATTTGAAAGCTGGATCTATGGAGTACATAAAAGTGTGCATAAAGATCAGAAATGAACATAAATATATATCTTTTACATTAACCTACAAAATAATTACAGAGGCACCAGAAAGGTAGCATATGTTCATCTAACAAGAATGCACTTGAAAGCAAAAATAAGCATAAGTGAGAACAATAAACTAAATAAAAATGATGTTATAACTTGAGTCTACAAGTTAATATATTTTAAAGTTACATGCTCAATGTGAGTTTCAAAACATAAAAGTGAAAATTTGATCAATAATGATCCTATCCACAGAGATAATTTGCTTTCATTAATTATCATTTAGATAGTATCAAAGTAGTATTGGACATCACAAACAACTCTTACTAGAGTCGATAATTAGCAGACCAGCATAACTTGCAAAAGAATGGAAAATAGTGCATAATGAAAAACTAAATGCAACTTGCAACCGACAAATAGTCATGCATACATACATGAGTATAAAAAGAGACGGCAACTTACATTTCCTATCATTGAGTCTCTGTGGTAATCATTGAGGAAATAGCTAATAAGCCTTGGAGTGTGAGCCAAGCTTATTGCAATATTTATGAAGCATGAATTGCAGAGGGAATCCAATTCTGCAGATCCCCAATACCAGAGTTTTTTGGATGTTTCACTGGAAGGAACATCTTCAAGCGAACCTCCGTTTGCATAGGTGGTCGGTATAAGTATGTGAATATCAATATTTTTCCTTCCATTTGTGTTATTCAAAATATCTGGGCATTGCCTGAGAGATAACTGCAAATGTAGCACAAAAAAGGAAAGAAAGTCTGATTTAGAAACATGAAAAGCTGGCAGGAAAAAAGAATGTATCGGGCCAATTGGAGCCAAAAAGAAGCTATCAGTGCAAGAGATTTCTATGAATCCCTCTACATCAGAGGGACTCTGTGCTAGTACAACACCATTGAAAGCTTCTCTGGAACAACAAAAATCCGTGGATTTGGAATCTCATGGACCCAACTGTAACATAGGTATGGCTTCTTGCTCTGCTACTAGTAATTATCTAGGTGAGAAACTATGTCATGGGAAAATGAGATAGAATTAGAGGAAGATGATGATTTATTTTTTGCTAATGTGAATACAAATATGGCCTCTAGTGATGAATCAAGGGGATCTAAATCTATGCATGTCATTGGTGATACTAGTGTTCGTTCTGGATGTTCTATTAAGAAAACACAAGTAGAAGGAGAAGATAGTTAAGAGAGGAAAACATGGTCAAGCTTGTTTGTTAACAAGAGGAAATTCGGAAATTGGACTCAGCTTGGATTATTTTCCTTCTACTACCTCTGATGTCGTTTCTTTTGATTGAGATGAAGCGCATGAGGGGGTTAAAATATGGAAATATGCTTTGATGGGCATGTGGTTGGTCTCAATGTGAGATTTAAAGCTATGGAGGCTTACTTTACAAAATTATGGACAAATTTAATTATTCCAACAGTTTTCTTAGTGTAATCCTGGGATATATCTTTTTAATTTCAAGAGTGAAGAAAGCAATTTAGTTAATCAGGACTATGGTTTTTTTTGTTTCTAGGCCTATATATAGCTTCGAACCTTCTACATCTGCGATGTGGATTCAATTGCCTGGCTTGTGATTGAACTTATGGCATGCTAGAGGGATTAGTGAAGTGACAAACATGGTTGTTGTTCTTATAGCTACAAGAAGCTCACAGCTTCTATGCAAAGGTTGACCTATGCTTGAGTCTTGATTGAGGCAAATATGCCTACCAAACTTCTAGATACAGTTATAATACAGAAGCCCTATGGTAAAATGCATACTCCAAAGGATTGTTTATGAATATAAGTCGAGGTGGATTGAGCACTGTAAGCTTATTGGTCACAAGACATCTTTGTGTAAGAAGATGAAATTTAAGAAGCAGTGGGTGGCTAAACAAAAAGACAAAGGAACCACAAGTGAAACTACAAAAGAGGTCCATGAAACACAAGGGAGATATAATTCCTTCTACTAACCAAGGGGATGCTGATCAGAGGATTGTCCAAAGATCAGGGAAGCAAAAGGAACAATTTGAGGGCAATATGCCAACTTCAATATCAAGTGGACCTATTAGTAAAGAAGCAAGTATAGAAAGAATAAAAAATTAAAGGCTCTTAACTCAAGTCTCTCTAACCATTAGACCAGAAATTTAAAGTTGTGGCGAAAGTTGAGAATTATAGTTTTATATAAATTCCAACATGCCTCTAGCAGGTTGAGCACCCTATTTTTATGGACCGAAGCCTTGACTTAATGTAGAGGGTCAACTTTAGAAAATCTGCTTCAAATTCATGACCGAGGGGATTTGAACCTGGGTTGCTTAGATACCATCTTAAATCAAGGTTATAAAAAGAGGATAACTCATCCGCATAGGCGGGCAAGCATGCGGAATTGGCCCATTTCTGCTTGGAAATGGGCTGATTTGCTCAAGTATGCGGACAACCGCAAAATTGAGCGGAAAACGGTTAATCACATGAACTTTTGTTTTAGTTTTAGTGTTTAGTTCGTAACTTTTATTTGAGTAGCTAGTTAATTATGATGTACGCATGAATAATGGATGCATTGGATTGAGTATTTAATTAGTTACTTAGTTATTGATCATTCCGTCACATGTTTATTAGCATTTTTCTTAGTATATTTTCTATCTTTTATGAATTAAAGACATTTTTATGTATGAAAAATAATTAATATATGTTAAAAATTCAAAAACACATAATCCGATTAATCGGCGCATAATCCGATTAATCGTGACTCACTCTCGGACCGCATGGATAATAAAACCGTGTTTTTGAACATTGTCTTAAATTAAGTCTCTCTTAACCATTATACCAAAACTATGAAGTTGTGAGAGTTGAAAGTCATAGTTTTATATTAATTCTACCAAAAGTTGTTGTTCTTGAGCAGAGTAATACTTTTTCTATTTTGGAATTTTCTAAAAAAAAAGTTCTATTTTGGAAACTGATTTGCAGTATAATGAATTAGGAGGTGGAAGTGGCTGCCCTATTAACTCATCTGTGGTAGACAGGGGAGAAAGTTCTTAACAGTATTCTATGAATTTGGTCTTTTGGCATGTTTGAGGCTTTAACAAGCCCTGTAAAAACATCCTATAGTGAAGTCCTTTACAGTTTAGCATCAGCTTTCAGTTTTGGCTATTTTAGAAACAAGGAGAAAGCAATAAAGCAAAAACTATTATTAATAAGATTGCAAAAAAGTTAAGAGCGGATTGGGAACTATTCAGATGCTCCCAATGGCGGAATTTGAATATTACGGACAGGAATAAGGTGGATTTGGATTGCATTAGTGTAAGTAAACAATGCATTACTAAATCCAAACATGAGAGATTTCACTGTTTGGCTTCTTTTGTTTTTGCCTACACAGTTTAGAGGAAAGAAATCATTTGTTCAATGAGCTCCATCAAACTGATTTGCAAAGCTGAAGTATCCATGACTAGTTTGTGGAGATTTCAATAATGTCTTGTGTGATGAAGATAGGAGTGGAAGGCGTCCATTTTTTTATTTTTATTTTTTTTGGTGGGGGGTGGTGGGGGGGGCAAACAGATTGGATACACCCGGTTATGAGTATCATATCCATATCAGCTTACGAAACATTAACTACAATTGCAAATACAAATGCGGATATAGGAACATGTTGCATATTCCGACCAGACTGAACACAGTTGTAGATCAAATAACTGAATTATATATGAACAAAAACCCATTACCAGAAAAGGATATAAGTTGTGCAGTGGTAGGATCCTTTGGCATGGTATCAAAGCGACCCAAGTTCAAATTCCACTAGCATTTATTAAATGGGATTTTAAAAATTTTGATACTATTGTGTGGGTGCGGGTTTCGGCTCTTAAGAAAGGGGGCTCAACAGTGCGGGGGGTATGTTAGGGTACAAAACTAGCCCTCAACCATCATCACAACTTCTGAACT